CAGAAACAGAATGCAAGTTACAGGAGGAAACAAAAATGAACCATATGGAAAAATATTCATAACACATTAATGTTTAATTAAATAATATGCTGGAAAGGACACTCCTGCAAGTCATCATAAACATAGAAAAGAGTATATGAAAATGTGCTGCTCATAACATTGGTTATAATTAGAGGGCAAGTGGATTAATCTGAGCATTCACAAGTTCAGACTAAGGATGTTAAGGACTAGATGACTAGTTGGTCCCCCCCCCTTACTACCTCTATCAGATAGAGGCAGCAAAGGTGGGGGGAGGGGGTACTTCAAAGGGGCAGCGCTGCACTGCGGAGCCTGGGCTCAGCCAAGGTGGCTTTTCAAAGGGGCACTGTGGAGCCTAGGGTTAGCTGGGGACTCCCCATTTTCTGGGAAAATGCCTTGTGGAACCCGGGATCAGCAGGAGAGTCCCCAGCTGATCCTGGGTTCCACTGAAATGCTGTGGGGAGCCCAGGATCAGGCTCCGTGCAGCATTTCAAATCTGCAGCACAGCATGGAGCCCAGGATCAGTGGGGGACTCTGAATCCCCTGCTGACCCCGGGCTCCATGCTGTGCTGCAGCTTTGAAATGCACAAGAACTCTTGCTGGGGACTCCTGTACATTTCAAAGCTGGCACACCATGTGCAGCCCAGAGACAGTGGGACTTCTCGCTGGCCCTGGGCTGTACGTGGAGTTCCGCATTCCTCCTTTGAAGAGCCCAGCAGGGGCTCTTGTACATTTCAAAGGAGGAATGCAGAAGTGCCTATCGACTAGTCAAGTACTCGATGGAAATTCCATCAACTACTCGACTAGCCAATTAACTGATATTTAACATCCTTAGTTCAGACATGACTGTAATATGAAAGTAATTATATTTTGATACTTTACTTTGCTACTGTAAATCATGGACAATACATTAATAAATATCAATGTGCTAACTCCAGGGTATTGTAAGAAAGAGCTACTCATCATCCAATATAGGAGCCCAGAACTAAAAAAGAAAGAAAGGTAACACCTCTCAAATAGAATGTAGTTGGAGTAGTGGTAGAACTTCTTAGATTGCATTCCTCCTTTCCCTAAACAGCAGTTTTTTTATGGAGACTTTTGTAAATCTACATGGCTGTTCCATACATTTTACGCACAGGGCATGGATCCCCAGAGTAAAATTGGTGTAAGACTTGAGAATTAGATCATGTTTGTCCAATTCATTAAATTTGTACAATGAAGTAGCACAATTATACCCTCCTACATAAAATCACAAAATTGGCATATAGCACCAACATGGATTAATTGCCTTCTAACAGGAGACCCATCTGTGACATCACTAGGAATGGATTGGGAGTGAAAAGTACACAAGACAAACAATATGGTAGAGAAGTAGTCTAGATATGTATAATTCTTCATATGTTTACAAAGAAAATTTCTAAAAAAAACCCACACAAGACTGACCAGTGGAAGATGTATTTTATACTAGTGGTGCTTCGTGGCAGTTAACCTTAGTTTTCACTATGCTTAAGAATTATTGAGGCTGTGTTTAGACTACAAAGAAAAGTCAGAAAAAGATATGCAAATTGAGATACGCAAGAGAATGTCATCTACACTGGGCCAAATGTCGGGGAAAAAGCCTCTTTCGGAACATCCCTTCTTCCTTGTAGAATGAGATTTACTGGGATGCCGAAAAAACATGTCTGCTTTTCTGACATTTTTTCAGAAAAGCAGACGTGTTCCTTGGACATGGCACAGCTTTTCCGGGATACCTCCAGTATCCCAGAAAAGCTCTGCAGTTTAGACAGACCCTGAGAAGTCTCTTCTCATTCACTTGAGAGATTTGCATACTTATTTAGTTATTTTTATATAAATTGCATGTGGCATTTTTTCAGGCTCTGATAGAGGCTGCCGGGAAGAAGGCTGGGACAGGGGCTGCTACCATGAAGCAACGCTTGTCCATGGCCACCTGGGTTGGCCATGAACAGTGGCTGGTACATGGTAGCCTCCCCTGCTCCACCTTCCCCTGCACTGCTGTCTCTGATAGAAACAGCAACATGGGGAAGATGGGACAGGCAGCACTGAGAAGGTCCTGGGGAGAACTGGCTTTTAAGCCAACTCCCCCCAGCACAAGCTCCTGCTTCCCCCTCTTGCTGCCTCTGAAATAGAGACAGCAAGGGGGGAGGGGAAATGCAAGTAGTTGACTCGACTACTCACTTACATCCCTAGTGCAGGGTGAGGTTGATGGCACTGGGGTACTACACCCCCACCAGCATGATCTGGCTGTCACCAGGTGGTGTTGGCCTGGTTGTAGTCAGTGAGGAAGGGGACACTGTGCTGCAAGTGGGACTGCGTGGTGCTGTACAGGTGGCAGGACTTGGTGACCCAGGTCATGCTGGTCTACATGCAGTACTCCTCAGCCAGCGAGCTCACATGTTGGTGGCCACCACAGTCATGTTGAAGGTGGCATTCACAAACTCAGACATGTAGTGCTGCAGCCGCCTGCTTGTCTCGCCTGCACACTCATCCATGGCAGCAGTGCAGCGCCCGGACAGCTCCAAAAGCAGCCAGGACAGTGCCCCGCAACGCATCCTTAGCTGGAACCAGCAAGGCCCTGCTGCCCGAGCAGCTCACATGGAGAGCAGGATGGGGCATGAGACCTGGCAGCAGTTGGCACGGGCAGGAGGCACGCAGCAAGAGGCAGCTGAGGACAGTGAATGCTCAGGTGGCTCCCACTGCTCTGCAGCTGTTTGGGCAGAGAGGAAGCAGGCCCAGCTGGAGGAGCAGGAGGCACAAGGGAGTGGGGGCTGGGTGTACAGTGCAAGCTGGGAAGTAGCCAGAGGAGGGGGACTTGAGTCTCAGGAGCGCGTGGGTGTACCCAAGGTGCTCTGTCCTCCAGAATGCTTGGGAGGGCAGACAAGCCAATTAGGACATGCAGGAGCCATGCTGAGGTGGGAATGGCGCAGCGGCTACAGCCTGTGGAACCTGTACAACAGCCCCGAAGAGAGAGGGCTGCACTCCATGCTCAGGATACAGCAGCAGGTACTCCCCTCCCCCCAACTTCTGGCAAGGCCGCCCCAGCAGCATTACTGCTCAGAGAAATCAAACCCATTCAAACTCCATTTGAGTGAGAACCCCCCTCCCTGTGCCGCACTCCATGATGTTCACCCTCCGCTCGCTGTAGCAGGAGGCTGCAGCAGGAGACTGCAGGCTGCTGGACAGCCTCCCTTCATCAGAGTCTGCAACCAACTGTCCTCCCCCTGTGCCTGCTTAGCAAGGCACTCTCTGGTCCCAAGCTTCCCCTCTGGCACAGCCTGTTGATGCAGGTGACGTGATGATGTCATTCTATCATCCAGCAAGTACACAAGAAGTACTTGACTTTGTAATTATTTTCTTAACATAGTTTGCATCCCCTCAGAACAAAAGATTTTCAGTCCTAAAAGTTTCAAGATATTAGGTCCATAGTGAAAATTAAATTCATATTTAACTGGAATTAAATTTTTATAATATCATATGGAGCTGAGGACTAGATATTTTATGGTAGCTGGCCACTCTTTGGAACTCTTTCTAGAAAGAAATACACTGACAAACCAGGCTATGTTTAGGAAGAGCCGCAAAATACATCTCTTTGCCCAGACCATTACAAAATCCTAGAAAAGTACTCCATAAACACTCAGGACAAACATCATCTGTAGAATTACAAGCATTTCAATTTATTACTTGTGTTACTAATATCTTAGGGCAGTGGTTCAACCTATTTACCACTGTGGGCCACATAAGCAGCTCTCTATAGGCCACATCTACAGAATATATATGCTACCTGTCTAGCACTGAGGATGTCACCTGTGCCAAAACTGTGTGCTGATTGGTCCGCAAGTGGCTCAATGGTTGAGAAGCACTGCCTGACTTGAATGGTGCTCCCTATGGCTGGACGGTTGCTTGTGTGGAACAGCTTGCAGCACTGGGTTCTTAGACAAAATTAAAACCCTGCCTTATTTTTCACCATTTACATTATTTTACAATTTGTAGTTCACTCACTTTTAACAATAATATTTTACTAAAGGTTTTACTTGGATTTAATAATCCATTTCACTTTGTAATGATAAGGTACCATTTTGGGGGAGTTTCAGAAACTTATAACTCATAAAATGATTGCTATTATGATTTGTAATCCTTTTTTTAAAAGGCCTAATGGGCAGATCCTCAGCTGGCATGAACTGCCATAGTTTCATTGAACTCAATGGAGCTCTGGTAATTTTTACCAGCTAAGGATCTGTTCCTAAATGCTGAGCCTTAAAATATGCACTCTCAAACAATGCTAACACATGCCTCTAAATGAAGGCTGTGGCATACTTAATCATGTGAACACATAAATCTATGACTTACAAACACTTTTGAGACTGTGACTGTTCTGTACTTTTAATGCAATGAACAGAACAAATAAACAGTCACAAAAATTATTTTACATAGATCAGTTATGAGAAAGTATTTCAAAAATCTGTGTAAGCTCATGTTTCAGCTTTCTCTGTCACTTTTCAGTTAAGAAGCGGTCATTTCAGTTTCTATAAAATGAGATGAGCATACGGGCTACCTAAAGGGATGTGACAAGGTAATTTAGGCCCCAGATTTAGTACTTTTTAAATTAATTTTTAAAATCTAATACAAGTAGAAATATTTTCTCTGAAATTTGGTTTTGTTCAGATTTAACCATTCACAGAAGTGTTGGCAATCTAAACATTATAGAACTGGTTGAGAGCATGAGAATGAGGAAGTCAGAATAACTAGACATAAGAGGGAATCTAACTTATTTTTGTTCTCTAAACTGAGTGAAATGTAAAGTGTAAACAAATAGCATAAATGGCAAAAGACCAATTAAATGCCTAAAATTTCCATTTTTAATAGCATAAGGTGTTTATTAAATAAAGAAATATGCACTTTATTGTATATGTTTATGAAATATGTTTTTGGTGTGTATAACCTCTCCACTCCTATGCCTCCCTTAGTAAAGCAGAGAATATAGTTTATTAAAAAGATATTTGACAAATTCTTTACATTGTGGAGACAGCTCACTTTTCTTCCAGATTTTTCTTTCTTGATTAGAGACCTGTAATAAAATATCAACATCGTTTATGTACATCATCTTATATTAACACTTACATTATATGTGCCTTTGAAGTACATGACAAATCAATCATTTACACTTCGTACCTCTTCCCATCAATTACATCAGCGTTTCCCAAACTATGGGCTGTGGCCTGGTACCAGGTCGCAGGAAAAAAATACTGGGCCTTAGCATGCCCGGTGGCTGCCAGCAGGGCCGAGTTGACCAATTTGATCGAATTGGGCCTCGCGCCCATGAACCCGGAAGTGCCAGCGAGTTACAGAGCTGGGGGCCCTGCTCCACCAATATGTGGAGCTGGGTCTCTCCCCCGGTTCTGCCGGGAGCAGGCCCTAACCCGTCCCTGCTGTGCGCAGCTTCTTCTCGCCGGCTGCTGCTACCATGTGTGGCGTTGAACGTGGGCGGGGAGGACGCCCGGGCGTGATGTGAAATCACGGCCCGGGATTTTAAAACTCTTTGGAGGCACATTGCGGGGCTGCCTCTGGGTTCGGCCTCTGGGGCCTGAGCCTCCAGCCCCACAACATGGAAGGCAGAAGGCAGGGAACGGGCTTGTGCGGCAGCGGCGGTGGGGGAGGGAGAGGAGAGGAGAAGGCAGCAGCGGTGGGGAAGGGAAGGGAAGGAGCTTGGGCTTGGGTGGATGGAGAAGGGGCTTGGGAAGGGAAGATACCAAGGGACAGGGTGCAGGAGAGACAAATGCCAGGGGGCCAAGTGCAGACAATGAGGGAAAGGGCAAGAGGGGAGGTGTCAGTGGGAGAGGGGACAGGGTGATTCTGGGAGAGGAGAAGAGAGGGGAAGGGCATTGGGGGCTGGAGGAGGAGGTGCTGGGAGAAGGCTTGAAAGAAGGGATGGGCATGAGAAAGGTGGGGATGGAGCAAGGCATGTGTGAGGGCACAGAGGGGCAAGAGGGGAATGGGGCAGAGAGTGGTGAGGAAGTGGGTATCAGGGGAAAAAGGGGGTAGGGGCAATAAGGGAAGGGGGAGGCACCAGGAGGATGCAGGGCTAAGGGAAGGTGCAGGTGCCAGGGGATTCTGGGGTGAAGCAGAAGGGAAGACACCTGCAGGGGAGGGACCAGCACCAGAGGAGAGAGGCAGGACAGCGTGTAGAGGGAGGTGTTAGAAGAGGGGTAGCTCACATGATCAGAGGGGGGCTACTGGGGGGGGGGGCATGGGGGG